AAAAAAAAAAAAAAAAAATAAAGTAAAACGCAATATGGTACTGCGTTTACTTTAACAGACTAATTTCCGTTAACGTAGTTCGCAGTATAATACTGTGTTTTACTCATTTATGTAACTTTTTTTTAAGCAGTATAAAAGTGATTTTTTTCCAAAAAAAAAAATCAAAAGCGTTTTGGACTCGGCCGAAAATAACAATTACTGTTGAGGGCGGGATCAATCAATCACATTCACTTCAATGGTTGGTTCCACTTCTATTCAAAAGGAAAATCAATATAACAAAATTTTCCCCCTTAAGGAACAAATTAACAGTTATTCTACCACCTTACAACATTGAGCAACATGGAAAGTAGAAATGTCAATTGGCAATACCAATTCTTGTAAACAAATTTAAGAGTAACATTACCACCACACAACACTAGTAAAAATGGGAAGTATAAATCAGCATAGGTTCAACCTTTTCATGTTTTCTGTGGTGATAGGATCTAGGAACATCACCCTTATGGGATGGAGGGATAAGTTGCACCAAGGATAGGAGTGGAGCTAGAATATATAGTTCAAATTCAATTTTATTAACACATCTATTAAATATATATATATATATATATATAAAATTAGATTCAGAAATCCAGTACTAACATCTACTATTACAATTTAAAATTTAAAACTTAAAAAGTTCAAATTCTGAATGGGATTGGAGTAACGGTAAAGTTGTGCATATGACCTATAGGTTATGGGTTTAAACCGAAGAATTGGTCACTAATTCTTACATTATGATAGACTACATCACACCCCCTTGAGGTCTGACTCTTCCTCAAACTCTATATGAATGTGAGATGGTATGTACACCGAACCAAGGACGGGGGTAGAGTACTAATTATAGGTTCGGATGAACCCAGTAACTTTTGCTTAGATCTTATATTTATTATTAACTATATATAAATATTTAACTATAAACCCAGTAACTAAGATATGCTATAAGTTTGATGATAAATTCAGAACTCATAATTTTCAAATCTTGATTTTGCCTCTATATCAAAATATCTTTCTTATAAAGTTTAAATTCTGAATTCACCGCTCCGTCGAAAAACACAGTCTCTTCAATACCTAGCATCATGGTGCAAAGTGGGATAGTGGAATGAAAGGATAGGTGTCAAAATAAGGAGGAAAGGGAAGAGGGACGTGTACCCTATTTTGTAAAGAACGTACACAATGCCTCGCTGTTCACCATGTGATGGCCTTGTGCCTTCGTTCCCATCCTTTCAGTCTTTTTCTTCGTTTCTCTTACTATATATTCACCGTATGCAGCAGTTTAAACATGTAGCATTATTTAATTTGTCTATCACTAAATTGAGTTAGTCCACATATTCAAATTTGAGGTCGAGAAATTATAATAAGGATTCACCTGCCATTATTGAGTTAGTTCACATATTCATATTTGACGTTGTGAAATTTTAATACTATATGTTCAATATACAGATTTTCGAAGAAACAATATCGAATGACACCCTATTTTGTGTTTTTATTATCTTTATGTTGTTGGTACTGCTTTTTAGTATTTCTTTTTTATGGTTTCTCTATTATTACTGTATTTTTTTTTAATAATTCTATAACTATATTTTTCCCGACTCAATAATTTATCGAAAACAGTCTCTTTACCTTCACAAGAAAGGATTAAGGTTGTATGTGTTAAGATCGAAATAATCATGTGTCATACGTAAGCTAGTAAAGTAAACCTTGAACAACGATAAATCAAACAACGAAAGAAAAATATAACAAAAGAGACACTAATATTTAACATGGTTCGGTCAATTGACCTATGTCGGACGGAGATGAGCAATCCACTGTATAAAGAGAGTACAAAATATCGAGAGAACAATCTCACAAAGAGGCAAACACAAGTGACACACTAATACTTGTCCCGAAAAGTTCTTCCCTAAATAAGACTCTCAAACCTCTTATGGTTGTTACTAAATGAGAAGGAATGATCCTTAATTTATAAAAGTCCAACCCCTCAAGCCCTACTTGTGAAATCACTAGTAGTTTATTATTATTATTATTGTGGTTGTTGTTACTATAAGATGTACTTTGTCATGAAAATGAGTTTAAATCTAAAAAGATAATTTTCAAAATCTATACATAAAATTCAAGTTGAAATCCCTGAATACATCCGTACACGCTGCATTAAAACATACATATGCTCCTGTCAACCCTAAAAGCCAACTGGCACGTCCTGATTTAATCCAATAGAGATATCAAATGGGTGCGTGAGGACAAAAAACAGGTCTACGAATTTAAGCCTTCATTCTCCTCTTTGGTCTTTTCCTATCTCCACCTTAATTTCTTTTAGCCTTTCCCCCTCAAAATCCCAACACTACTTAATAAAGTGACTACTCATAACACTACATCACATAACACATTACACTTTCTTTTCTCTTAGCCAAAAACCAAAAAAAAAAAAAAAAGACACCCCTTTTGATTTTCTTGGTTTAGAAAAAAAAAGTATGGATTATGGAATTTTTTCAGATTCAGAATGTAGTAGTGGATGTGAGTCTGGTTGGACTTTGTACTTGGAAAATTCTGTTCTTCCTCCTATGAATTCTTGCAATACCAATAAATTTTCACCATTTTGTGAAGCTGAAAAGAGTGTAAAAACAGAACAAGAAGAAGAAGAGGAGGATTTGTCTATGGTTTCTGATGCATCTTCTGGACCTCCACATTTTAATGAAGAGGATCAAGATTATGGCCACAACAATAATGGCTTCTTTTTTCATGCCCCAATTAATGGCACATTGCCTAAAAATAATCCCAAAAGGCAAAAATCAAAGGAAAAAAAACAGCAAACTTCTGCATTGGATGATACAGCTAGTTCTCCTTTCTTTGATTTCTCAAATGTAAGTTTACCTTTTTTATGCATATTTTTTACTAGCATTAATGGAAGAATGTGACTTTTTTTAAAGTTAACTTTCTTGAGGCTTTTACCTTATTACAGAACAATTTTACTATCACCAATGACACAGCTTCAGTGGATAATGTATTGGACTTTTCACAAGGTTACTCTGCAACTCATTTTCAGGTACTTAACTAGTTCTTGCTATAGATGTAAATTTTGTGTTAACTAATTAGTTGGTGCGGAGCTAGGGTGGCGGAAGGGGTTCATTCGAATGTATTGGACTTAACTAGTTCTTGCTATAAAGGCAGCCTAGTGGACTAAGCTCCCGCTATACATGAGGTCTGGGAAAGGACCGGACCACAAAGGTCTATTATATGCAACCTTACCCTGCATTTATGCGAGAGACTGTTTTCACGGCTCGAACCTATCAAGGCAACACTTTTACCCGTTACGCAAGGTTCCCCTTCGAAATATTACACATTATATATAGTAGAATGGAACCCCTTTGGCTCGTTTGTGTCTTTATTTTTTTATATTCTGAATCCCCTTGGTAAAATTTCTGACTCAGTCTCTGCTAATTAACATTTCTCCATAAAGATTTGATTTGTTATAAGTTTATGTGCTCATCAGTAAATTTGTTTTATGCAGAGGAGATCTGCATATGCATATCAGGAGCAATATGATTTTTTCCAATCATCTCTGTTACCTGGAAACCAATTGCAAGAAAACCAGTTAAGTTCTTGATTTTTTTATTTGAACAAAAAAACTCTAAGTTTTCAGTGCCAAAAAATGAGTTGTTGTTATGTGACTAGTAGGTCATGTGTTCGAGCCGTAAAAACAGTCTCTTGCAGAAATACGGGGTAAGGCTGCGTACAATAGACCTATGTGGTCCATCCCTTTCTGAACCCCGCGCATAGCGGAAGCTTAGTGCACCGGAAGCCCTTTTAGTGCCAAAAAATCAATTTTGAATTTACTAACATTTCTTTGATTTTGATTTGATTTTTATCAGGTGGTTTGAAGGCAAAAGGTGGGGATATTAGCAGCTATCAGTTCTAGCAAATGTTGATGATGTCTGCAGCTAAATGAATGTTTAGAAAGAGGAAAGGAATTGGAGCTCAAAAGAGATTTTTTTTCCTCTTCTTTTTCAATATTTTTTTTTTAATTTTGCTGTCAATGCAGTGGGAAACAACTTGAAATAAGAAGTTGGAATTCCTTTTCCTCTATCTTAGAATTAAGTTTGTTGCAATGAATAGTGAAATATTAGATTTTGACCTCATTGGGAGTAATGGTTACATATTGCTTTTGAACTTCTGCTGAGCAAATTATGTGCAATGCAACCAAGTAAAAATGGCACATCACACCATGGGTTCGTGGAGTCGGCAGAACTCAGTGTTTTCAGCTCGAACTTAATATTTAATACTCATGAGCGAAAACAAGTATATACTGTTAGATATACATTTTAGAATCTACTCTTTCAACTCAGAATCGATTACGTCTAAATTCTGAATGTGCAATAGTATTCAGAACATTGTTCCTCATGGAGCTCCATGCTTTCATTCAACACATAGTGTATTTGTAACATAAATGAAGCTTGAACAAATAGGAAAAAGAAAAAGGGAAAAGGAAAAAAAGAGTGCTGAAATTATTAACTAATCAAGGCAAATCTTGTTGCTTTGTTGACTGTCCTTGATTATCTATAATTGATTGAACATGTCATGAGTTCTCAATCCTATCAAGACATTTAGAGAGGGAGAGGGGACAAATTGAACTGTTTAGTCAAGCCAACCAAACCTAGTACTATAATCATGGTCCACAACAATAATTCTTTTCCTAATTGTTTTCCACTGCTTTGCTAATTTTATAAATAAATAAAAAAGGGGACAAGGGGCAAGTATATGATCCTAAGAACCTGTTAAACAAAAAAAAAAAGATTAGGACTTCTTGAAATTCATCTTTAAAATTGAGCAAAATATTGGAAAATAGGCTACTATAATGTGGCCAAAACCTAGACAAGAATCAACTTGATGCATTAATTTCAAGATATAAATATTTCATATTATAATGGGTTGTTCAAAAGGATTCATCTGTCCTTCAATTAAATATTCTGTTTTTTTCTTAGATATTCAGGTTCAAATTAAGTGTCCATAGATTTGTTGATTTTGCTTCCTAGTAATTCTTATTATGGATATTATCACTTTTAGTTCGCGCCAGAAACTATTTATATTTGATAACCGAAAAAGTATATAAAGCTTATATAATTTTGTATATAATATACAAAATGTATATATATTTTTTATATATTTTTCAGATACTATTTTTACAGCGACTATATAGTATCATTTATCCTTCAAAAAATCATAGGTTAATAGATAGAGGAAAAAATGCAAATGGATGACAATGAAAATGTTACAAGGGTAATGGGCAGTCAGAAAAGTACAGAAATGAGTGGGAAATTCCAAAAATAATGTCGGAATATTTCATATGTTACTTCAAGACCCTTTTTTAAGTGCAGAGATCCTGCCTGAGATCTTCCTGACCCAATGCTACATGCCATTTTTATTATAATATTAGCCTCTTTATAAATTATTTAAGCTATAGTATGTTTGCCCCCTCAATTCTGTCTCCTTTGAAGGTGTCATTGGACTTGAAGTCATACACAATTATATGCTCGTTCTTTCATTTCTTTAGTCTTTGGACTGATCCCAGTCAAATTCTATTTCTAAAAAAAGAAATTGAGGAAGTGATTAGTATCATGCATTTTCAAGAACTATGACACAAGTATTCCTCAAGCGCAACACTGGTCATGTTCAGAGATAGATCCAAAATTTTAATTCTATTGGTTCAAAATTTTGGTTTCAACCACTAAACCCACACCTTGTTTGGTTCATAGCTCATTTTTTTCAGCAAGTTTAGTGAATTTTTACACTGAAAATTCAGATCTAGCTAGAATAAAAATTATGCGTTTAATTGAACCTATAACTAAGTTGTTGGATCCGCCCGTGATCATGTTTAATAGCTTACTAATGAGAGTCGTCCAAGTAGCGGAAGAAAATGGAAAGAAGTAAAAACTCTTAACACTGAATGTTTTAATTTTACCTTCTATTATACTGTAGGGTTATTCATACTCTTGTTGTTAGCAAATTGTTTCATATTTGCACTTGACTTAGGGAACTATAATATAGAATGAATGGACTCCATGTGTCAAAATACTTTAGGAAAAAATGTGCAAATTTGCATGCCCTTATTTTTTGAGATGATTAAAAATTACCTTCCATAATACTTTTAGGTTAGAACTCCGTTAAAATTAAGGGCAAGTATGAGACTGTTTGCTAATGACAAGAATATGAATGAATATGAAATAAAACTTAAGATCATTTCATTTTTACCCTTTTCCCACAAAATAAAGATAAAGAAAGGATATGGATAGGCTATGGTTATTGACAGTCAATTATGGTACAGAGGAATCAAGAAAGTATGGGGCAAAACATTTTTGCCTTACCAACTGCCATCAAAACAAAGCCTTGAATTCAATCCCTTTTGATTGGCCTGTGGTGTTACTGAATTTTCACCTAAGGTTGTTTCCAATTCTCATGACAACAGTGTTCTTCTCCCAATAAAACTGTACATAGTTTCCAGTCCTTAACTTTTTGCCATATTTTCACTTTGTCAGGTCCCCAGTCATGTGTTATATAACAGTAAGGGTGAACATGCACAAAAGTGTACTTAAAATTCAGCCTTTAAATCAACCCCACCACCACCGTAGTGAGAGGTCGATTTAGGATTTTAGTTCTATGGGTTCAGCATTTAAACTTATGAGTTCATATCTACTATTTATTGTAATTTTAATTGTTTTTCACACATAAATTTATCATTCGCAACGAATGTACTGGATTCAATTGAACCCGATAATTGTATAGTGCATCCGCCCTGACTGCAGTAACTTAAATTGCAGTAACAAGGCATGGATCTATCTTCCTGCTAAGCTTTACTGTTTTCCCCCCTCAAGTTGCCCATGATTTTTCAGAGTGCTGTGTAGGAAGAGGATAATGCACTTGATCCCAAAAGTAAGTAAATTGTGCTTGTTTACTTTGTATTTTTCTTTCTTTTTTACTACATTATAGATGAGAATTTCGCCGGTGTGAGTTTGCGCACATAGCCCATCGGTCCTAAGACGAAAAAAAGGAGGGTTGTGTTGCTTCCAAACGCACATGCAAGTATATATGGTCGTACAAGTAATAAAATGATAAGTCGAGTATCGAACCCATATAGACTTGTATCAATTATCCACTAAATTCACCAACATTGTTATTCAGTCCAGCCAATTCGAGTTCAAAAGTGTAATTATACTAAACAATAATTCTAAGTAGTAACTAAATTATCAAGCAGTAAAATGGTTGTTGTGTATTTGGTAGAGACAAATATTCTAGGGTTGTGATCGATTCACCAATTCTATTGTGTTCTAGTTAACTTTCTCTTTCATACATTTCACTCATGATGGCTGGTTAATCGAACAATTGCTCTTATAACCTTCTCCCAAAGTACTACTCGCCTATTCAAAATAGATTAATGCCTATATTCGTATGAAATCAATCTATTAAGAGCGCATTAAGATTACAATATTAATTAAGCACGGTGACTAGGTATATTGCTATCCTAACCACAAATTCGCCCCCCCCCCCC